AACTCAGGCTGGTGAAGAAAATGTTAAGACTCCTTGGCCTGATCATTCCAGCCACTGCCAACCTTAGGCTTTCAGGAATAATAATTATAAGCCAGCACTGACTATCCATTTACCCATCCTGGGCATTGTTCATCCTGTACTTCATTTAACCCTAACCGCCCTATGAGATAGTTGCTATTAACCCCAGAGGTTGAGGGATTCATTCAAATTCTATAGGTGGTGCAGCCAGACTTGCATATTGGAGGTTCAATATCAGGGCATGAGCCTGTGGCTGCTCACTGCATGTGGCTCTCATGCGTGTACACAAACACACACACACAATTTGGATCTATGGCAAAATCTCGTTCATTGTATTTGCAAAGTTGACTAGTTAAGAACCTTTTAGTTCGTTCAAGTACCAAAAATGTGGGTAGGAAAGCATGCCAATGACCCAACTCTGGCTATTCCCATAAAAAAGAGCAGCATCCACCCTTCACCCACCTGGGCAGGTCAGGCCTCCAGAGCCCTCCTCAGCGGAGACACCACCGAGACGTCTGAGCACAGTGACGTGATGACCAGGCGTCCCTGGGCTGAGAGAAAACCTGGGCACCCCACCACCTCCCAGACACCCAGCTCTGTCTGATCTCCAAGCCCATGCCTTTATCCGTTAGAGTGTTCCCAATTATAAAATTAGAATTCCTGACTATGAGTGCATCAAACAAATAGGGGCTTTCTTTTTTTTAATATAATTATGAGAATATCAGAGATAGATGTAGATTTTATGTGGAATCTTCCGTTTTTTTAATGTGAGCAAGTAATTCAACCTCTCAAAGCACTGTTTTGGCCAACAGATCATCTGCTGGCCAAATAGGGCCTGGCCCACACTTTCTCTACGACTGTAGCTTCAGGATGACCAGGCAGGGTGATGAGCTTATGACTCTGGGAAGGAGTCAAGGTCCTCACGTCTCCCCTTCCGGGGGCCACGCTCCCCCTCCCTCCCACCAGCTGCCCTGGCGGAAGCCCTCCCGGCTCCCATCACCACGCCTCAGCAGGGTCCAGTTCTGCCCCCATCCTGAGGCTTTTTCTGAAGACCTAACACAGAGGCAATGGTAACTATAATAGCTAACATTTGTTGAATAGTTTTTATGTGCTTATCAGCGTCTATGCAATCTCTCATTTAGTCCTCATAAGTAATCCATGAGTTATTATTTTTATTATGATCATTACCCCCATTTTTAAAGATAAAGAAACTAAGGCACAGAAAGACTCAGCCACTTAGATCCAAAGTTGAACTGCCCTCCGGTGCTGCATCTGCAACTCCAATGTGTCTGATTTCAAAGCCCACAGCTTGAACTGCTGTGTCAATCAGGATGCTCTTGGTTGTAAAATCAGAACACTTGAACACAACCGGATTAAACAAACAGAGTCAGAGTGCTTTTTATAAGACCAGCAGTGGATAATTACAGGGTTACTTCAGCAGTTCAACATCTCTGACATCCCACTGTGTCAACAATGTTTCCTCAAGGTCATGAAAAGGCTGCAACAGCTCCAAACATCAGGTCCTCACACGGATGCCTCTCAACTTCACCCAACAGCAGGTCTCTCCTCAGGTCTCCTTCTTATCAGGCAGGAAAACCTGTCCCCAAAACACCACATTAAGTGTCAGCTTATGTTTCATTTGCCAGAATTGGGTAATATGCCTAACCCTGGACCAATCAGAATAGAATTAGTATAACCAATTATGATCCAGTCCCTGGGGCTGGACACATAGCCACCTCTATTACCAGAGAGGAAGGGGGTTATGGCTGTAGGGTGGCCAGCCGATAACGGCTGCACCAAATACTGGGAATGTGTGAACTGCCTCCCAAAAGCCACAATGGTAACAAAACAGTAAGAAAAGAAGGTTTTCCCACATACATTATAAGGCAGGGATGAGTTCTCAACCAGAAATTTCCATGATCCCCACATCCAGTTTCCCAGGAATTCTAAGTCACTCGGTGTTACTGTTGCCCTTTGTCTGGCTCACTGCAGCGCATGCCATGCACGTAGCTGGAGCTCAGTAAATCCCATGTAAAGGCTGGGACCCGACCTAAGGGGTTAGCCCGTGTTAGTGTTGCAAACATCTCCTTCATGGTGGGCTTCACTAACCCGTGTCCCCAGAAATAAGAAGGGGTCGTTAGTTACAACACATGAGACAACCGTGCAGGGCCCTCCTTCCCGCACAGCCAGTCACTGTCGGGGCCCTACTCACGGGCTCCGGATGACTCGGCAGATCAGCCCACACGCAGCGCATCAATCACCAGCTCGGGGCCCAGCCCAGCCCACGAGCCAGTCTTGTGTTTTTCCTTCCTTACACATTAATCACAAGAAAGGCCTTTCACAACTCCTTTCTCAACTGAAAAAATACATATTTATTTATTCATTTATTTTTATTTATATTTATACTTTATCCTAAACTTTCAAAAACTTTTCCCAAAGTGTGAAAAAGATGGCTTCGTCTAACTGTCACATAAACCTTATGTATTTGTCACCAGCCGAAATGGCCTCATTTGTTTACTTGCTTATTGTCTGTCTCCCCACACAAGGGACAGTCCATGAGAGCAGAGACTTGTCTCTTTTCTCATCGCCATTCCCCTGGTGATGCAACAAGGCCTGCTCAGAGTGGTCCTCAATAAGTGCTTGGTAAATGAGTGAATGCATTAAGTTAAACAGTCTTTACAGTCAAAATATAAATGTGTCCAGGCACCGGTTTTGTCTGAGACTTTTGGGGTTTTGTAAAGCATCGAGCTGGTTCATATCCTCCAGTAAGTCAATTAAAAAAACAATAATTCCCCCAGTGGCTTGTAAATAATACTAAATACCTTTTTTTGCATAGCCCTTCTCATTTTACATGCTCACTGAATTGATAAGATTGTGTTCAAGGTCAAGGTAGACTGTAGGAATATTTTTAAATGCTTTGAATTTCCCCCACAAACAATGCCTACTTTTTTTCCTCCCTAAATCTTACCAAGCTGAGGAATAAGTTTCATAGCTGAGAGCCAGAGATAGTCCCGGAGAACATTCCTGTGTCACTTTAGGAACGCCAGGGGAGCAAACCTCATGTCCCTGCACTCCAGTTCCCTTTCATTACACCAGGGGACAAAACCTCCCTATTCATTTTCCAAGTGGCTTCCACTGCTTTGAAACCCTCTCACAATAAAAAGTCAAGTAAGAGAAAAAATAAGAAGAGTTACAGTGAATGTGAATGAGAAAATTACCATTTTTATTGTTCTCTTCATTCTAAAATAGGAAGATGTAATCCTGTGAACTGACCTCTCTTCTTCTCACTATGGAAAGTGCTTTGCAGTCAGCACAGCAGAAGGACCTGGTCCCCTTCTCTCCAATCTCTCTATTGACATAACTGCTAACAGAAATGCATTCTCAGAATCCAAAGCCAAGAGTAAGTACATTAGATTCTATCCCAGTAAATGCAACAAAATAAATCTATTAAAATGGTGGCCATGGCTAACCACAGAGCCACACAAGAACTATGGGAGAATGTTCTGGATGTTACTATTCTCCTACAGAAATGTGTACACAGTCCATCTCTCTCCTTTTACAAATTGTTGCAGGCATATACCTATGCCCATTCATTAATTTATTCTTCCTTTAAAAATTCATCCTTCTCACCCTGGCTGGGTGGCTCAGTTGGTTGGAATGTCATCCCGTACACCAGAAGTCTGAGGGTTCAGTCCCTGGTCCAGGTACACACAAGAGGTATCAGATCAATGTTTCTTTCTCACATCAGGGTTTCTCTCTATCTCCCCTCCTCTCAGTCTAGAATCAGTGAACATACTCTCAGGTGGGAATTTTTTTTAAAAAATCATTCTTCTCTAATATCTTTTTCTGGTCTTAAAATGTAAGACATTTGCCTTTATTGGCTTCATTTTTGCTATTGTTTCTGTACTGACTGACAGTGATTATGATGTTAATCCACCGTTTACATTATGATGTAAACCACCGTTTACTCAGCATTTATTTTGTTCCAGACCCTATTCGTTTAGTCCTCCCTTTGAAGGTTAGAGGTTACATTTTTACAGATGAGAAAACTAAAGTCCCAAGGTTCAAGGGTTTGCCCAAGGTCACACAGCCAAAAAGCCTCAGAACCTGGATTCTGATCTGAGGGGTGTGGCCGGAAGCCCTGCCACCTCTGCCACAGCAAGGTCGTACTCCAGGGCGGGGCTTCCACACACGGAGCCCTCACTGAACGCCAGCCTTGAGCCCAGCCCTTCAGCCAAAGTTTTAACTTATCCTTCAAAACAAACTTACAAAGTGAGTGCCATCATTCCCATTTTACCGTGCGTGAGAAAACTAAACACGGAAGTCAAATAACTTGATCAAGGTCACCGAGCTAGAAAGGGCAGAACTGTGATGTAAATTCTGGCCCAACAACTTCAAAGCCTCACAGGGCACCAGGCACAGAATATTCTCGAGTTTTATGGAGAAAAGTATCCTCCTGTCCCCCAGCAACAGTTTGATAAAACAGGATTTTCAATGGTGACAAGAAAATGATATAATCTTTATTGACTACGAATCTTCTGAGTTACACCCCTAAGTACCAGTCCCTCATAAAGTTTACATATATCTATATTGAGATAACTCAACACATAGCATGAGGAAACTCTTAGATACTGAACAAAATGCCTGGATTATCTGCATTTATTTATTTATTTATTTATTTATTTATTTATTTATTTATTTTAGTTACTGAAACATGCCTGAAACTTCTCAATTTTAAAACCAAAACTATTATGTAATGTTAAAGCCCAATTTTCATTGCTGACTCATTCTGTAACCAACTCCATAATTCTTCCCAGAGAAAACCCCTCATATCTCTTGATCAGATTCTTCAAATTCTCCCAGTTTATCAACTAGAATGAAACCTTGCCCAGAGCTAATGTCAATTAATGCCCAGCACAGTACTGGGCACAACTGCATGTTTATGGAATGATTAAAAAAGCCACAGATAAAATATCAAGTTGTCATGTAATTTATGAAAATTTTAATTCTTGATATGATTTCAAATTTACAGGAAGTTGCAAAATCAGCACAAAAACATTCCTACATACCTTCACTCAGATTGGCACTTATTCATATTTTGTCCCATTTGCTTTATTCTCAGTGTGATTTTATGAACATGAGCATTTGTAGTAATTTTGTAGCCTGTTATAATTAATCAATATCTGTAAAATGATTTAAATCAAAGCTAAAAAGAATGCCACTTTGCTGCCAGGGTCAAAAGTCTGAATCTAATTCCTTTGAATTGAAAAGCTAAGTGGGCTGAGCCCGATCTGAAGCCCTGCGGTCATGTTCCCGTGGTTCCCCAGAGGCCTACCTGTGTGGACATGCTTTTCTGGGTAGCGGGAGACGGCTGCGTTGTAACTGGTGCGTGTGGTGGTAGAGCTGTGAGGGAAGACCCGAAAATCACCATCCGGCAAAGACCACAGAACAGCCAGCACAGTCTCGCCGGAGGACGCCCGCCCCCCCAGGGAACAGCCTTCCCTGGCAAAGCTGAGTGTACACGCTCCATAGTGATAAATCGGCCACCTGCCTCCAGCTTCTTCAGCTCGTCTCTGGTTGCCTGCAGCTCTGGTTGCCAGACGGTGCCTTAGAAATGCTTTATTTTGGTGTCCACTGAGAGTGTAACCCAGATTCTATCAGTAAATATCAGTCAAGGAAGTCACATGGAAAGACTGCTCTAATTCACTCTTGCTAGTGGGTCCCCAAGGGTAAAATAATATAGTCCGTGTCTTCTCAGTCATGAGGAAGCCGTTGTCACTGAATCTCCCTGGGACGCTCCCTACGTCCAACCAAACAAAGGGAGCAACAGCCGAGGTTTCCAGATCAAAAACAAATGTGTCCTCCTGCTGAGAGATGATGGCCTGAAAGTAAAAGATAAATGGAGGAAGGGTGAGGGAAGAGAGCTCTGTTCCACATTCAGCACCCATCAGAATGCTTATGTGGGCCTAACATTAGAGTATATTCCTACAACTTTGGTTCTGCCACTGGCTAACATCATATATTCCATGCACTGTGTCATATACTAAAAATACATGGAAATTGTTTAAGGTGGTGGGAAATTACCAAATTGTAATCTCAAACCAACTGCAGAAATATGTAGTCTCCTATTATTAAAGAGATCATTTCACATGAAGCGCAAAGCTTTCTATCTTTTACAGTTTTTCTCAGAGTATCATCCAGAGAGGAGCATTTCTGCATAACTGCTGGGCAGATGAATGACTTTCTGGGGATATGGCGGGAGCCAGCTGCAGAGCACAACCATGGTGCTCAACTCCTAGTCCTCTGGAAAGAGGCAGAAATCTATATAGCAGCCTGCCAGGCACTTACAAAGGCTCTAGCACTAGAGCTTTCTCTTTTTTATTACACAGCACAGGGGAGGCACATCATGAGCACTTTTCAGACGTGTGCACCCCACACAGCACCGGCAAAGGAGAGCACAGTTTAAACCTATCTTCATTAGCGGACCAGCACGTGCACAGAGTGAAGCTCACCTCAGCCGTGAAGGGGAGGCGTTTGCAAGCCTCTCTTAGAGAATGTGGATTGGTTTTTAAAGCTCTGCATTCATCATGAAACACAAGTACTCAGCATGGATACATGCCACACAGTAGGTCTGCCATTACATGTTATGTATGGCATAAAGACTGTCAGAGGGAAATATTTACTATACATAATGTTAGCCTGACACACTTGTTTGATCACCATCCAGAGCTCTGAGCTATAAACAATGAAAGCAACCTACTTTGCTAGAAGCAGAAAAGACAATTATGTACAGTAGGTAGCTCTCAGAGGGTCAGAGGTTCAGTCTTGAAGCTAGATGTCAAATTCCCACATCAGTCACCAGCTGTTCGGGTGAGGACCGTAAAGCAGTCGCATCATGCAGTTCACATGGCTGGCCCTGGGAAGCCCGCAAGACTGCCAAGGAGGCCCCGGCCACTGCTGTGCCAGGGCCACAGCCAGAAGGGACTCTGGCACCTGCTTACTCTTGTTGCCTTCTTCCAACTGGAAATCTCATTTCTGTATATCTGCCTGCAGAGCCTGGGGCTCAAGCTTGCATCCTGGCTTCAGGGAGGCGGGGAAAACAAATTTCTGGCATCCACCAGGGGACAGGACATCCAAGTGCCTGGCCTATGTTAAGCCTGCAATAAATGTTTTATTGTTGTTGTTGTTGTTGTTATATTCCTTTAGGAAGTGTATATCTCCCTGAAATACAAAAGAGGTAGGGAAAATAAAAAAGTCCTACTTCTCTCCCACCCTGAATTATCCCAAGGTAGTGAAGAATTAGCCAAGAAAAGAGGGGAAATAATGGTTTCAAAATCCTAAATCTAGCCTGCTACATGGTTTTGTTTCAAGGTTTTTTTTTTCCGTTTCTGGAGAGAAACTATACTATAAATATATGTCATTTCCTTCCTATCTGTTCTGTATTAGTTGTTACAGATAACTTAGATTTCTTACATGAATAATTCATTATTAATTGGAAAAGAAAATACATGTTTTCAAATCAAGGATTAAGAGTTTTTACATGATTATTACTAAAGTAAATGTAGAAAATCCTCTCACTTGAGCCTTCTCAATGAAATAAAGGGTAAAATAAATTTAAAATTCACCAAAACTAGGGAATGAACCTTTCTAGAAAAATATTTTCAATCACTACATGTAGGAGGAAAAGGAAGGAAAGGTTTTCAATCGACTGAAGAGATTCCAAATTCTCCAGCTGCACAATTTGTACAACACATCTTGATCCTCTCATTTTTTCTTGGCAATCACAAAGAGATTTGGTAATTTAAGCAATAAATTAAAGAGAATAGGGTGAGAATTAAAGATTAATAGACTCTACTTAAAATCTCAAAAGTAGAGCGCTTCTACTGGGCCCCAATGCCTCCTTAGGCGTGTTGCTCAGTTCTCCAGACTCCTTTGCTCACTTGTGATCAGATGATAATGTGGATTTTTAAAAAAGCATTCTGTTCCGTACTGGTGAACACACGGAGGTTCGGAGAGAGTGGTGCAGTGAGCATAGCAGCTCCATGCCCTTTTCCCACATCTTACCCTATGTGTCTCTTCCATCTGGCTGTTCCTGAATTATACCCTTCTACAATAAACCAATGATCTATTTTGGTTTTGAGATAAAGGTATGCTTTTTGAATTATTTAAAAAAAAATAACAAACTTCCAATCAAGATGGAGGCGTAGGTAAACACACTTCTCCTCATGCAACCACAGAAAGAATTACGACCAGCCCTCAAAACAAATAACACTCAGAACTGTCAGAAAACTGAGCTGTATGGAAGTCTGACAACCAAGGATTTAAAGAAGCCACATTCATCCGGACAGGTAGGAGGAGCGGAGAGGCACAGAGATGAGGTGTGGCACAGAGAGGTGGTAGTGGTGGAGCAGACAGTCCCACATTCACGTGTGACAGATAAAAATCGGGAGGGACACCTTGGGAGTCAGTGATCCAAGCCCCAGACCAGACCACCCAGCCCAGGGTTCCAGCACCCAGAAGCTAAATCCCCGTAACTTCTGGCTATAAAATCTAGTGAGGGCTGAAACAGTGGAAGAAACTGCTGGATTTTCAGGAGACTCCACTTAAAGGGCCTGCATGGACTTAAAAATGTACACAGACCCACCCGCTCTGGGACTCAGTATCAGGGTAACAGCTGGAAGGGCCCCAGTCACACAGGGTAAGTGCCAGGCAAACCTCCAGAAGGCGGACAGTGGCACTGTCCCCTCTCTGAGCCCTCCCCACACACAAAGCCACAAAGCGGTGAAGCAGGTTGCCTTGCCCTGGCGATTACCTAAGGCTCCACTCCACACAATGTACATATGCCTATTCTACAGTAGGCCATGCTACTAAGACAGGGAGTCAAAGCAGCTATACCTAATATGCAGAAACAAACACAAGGAGGCCACCAAATTGGAATATGGCCCAAATGAGAGAACAAATCAAAACTCTCCAGAAAAAGAACTAAACGAAGTGGAGACAACCAACCTATAAGAAGCAGAGTCCAAAACACTGGTGATCAGGATACTCAAAGAACTCATTGAGTACGGCAACAAAATAAAAAAGACCCAGGAAGAAATGAAGGTTACACTAAGTGAAATAAAGAAAAATCTACAGGGAACCAACAATGGAGGTGATGAAGCCAGTATTCAAATCAATGATTTGGAACATAAGGAAGAAATAAACGTTCAACCACAACAGCAAGAAGAAAAAAAATTTCAAAAAAATGAGGAAAGTATTAGGTGCTTCTGGGACATCTCCAAATGTACCAACATCCAAATCACAGAGATGCAGAAGGAGAGGAGGAAGAGCCAGAAATTGAAAACTTACTTGAAAAAATGACATTAAACTTCCCTAATTTGGTGAAGTCATGAATAGCAAGGACCTACATCCAAGATTACTCTATCCAGCAAAGCTATCATTTAGAATGGAAGGGCAGATAAAGTGCTTCCCAGATAAGGTCAAGTTAAAGAAATTCATCATCACTAAGCCATTATCACATGAAATATTAAATGGACTTATTTAAGAAAAAGAAGATTAAAACTATGAACATTAAAATGGTAACAAATCCACAACTATCAACAGCTGAACCTAAAAAAAAACTAAACAAACAATCAGACAGGAACAGAATCATAGATACAGAGACCATATGGAGGGTTATCAACTGGGAGGGGAAAAGGGAGAATGAAGGAAAGGGTGCAGGGATTAAGCACAAATTGGTAGCTATAAAATAGACAGGAGGAAGTTAAGAACAGGACAGGAAAAGGAGAAGCCACAGAAATTATATGCATGACCCATGGACATGAAGTAAGGGGGAAGATTGCTGGAAGGAATGGGGGTACCAGGCAGAGGAGGGCAAAGGGGGAAAAAGGGGACACTTGTGATAACATAATCAATAAAATATATTAAGAAGGAAAAGAAAAAAAGAGGGTGCTATGGAAAGTAACTTCACAGGGTGATCTGATCATAAATTCCTAACCCGGCAGATCATGGTGGGTAGTCAAGCTCGAGGCATATGAGTTCTTTAGCAAAGGTTTATCTTTGCCCTAAGTAAGGCCTGTCCACTGTTGCTGTGCATCTAGGTTAACACACTTCTGAAACACCAGAAGCAATGGCCCTGGAAGGGGTATTAACCTTCAAGACAGTACGTAATCTTGTTAACTATCCCGTAATCTGATCTCTGCATTGCTTCCTCCCACCTTCCTGGGATCTTCCTTAAGTTCCCTCCTTAATTTCAAATACATAAAAGAAGCCGCAGAACTGTTATTCCCTGGAGTGTTTGAGATCTTGCTCCCCAGTGTATGTCATCAGTTCGACTCAAATAAACTCACAAAAATTCCCTATGAGTTAGAATGTGTCTCAGTTCAAAAATAATACTTCAGGGTTGGTACACTCAAGCCCCGGGGACAGAGTCTGGGACCTAGCGGCTGGGGATCCATGCTGAGGACCCCGATGCCTCCTCTCCCACTGCACAAGCCCCTCGAGGGAGGGATGATGAGACAGCAGGGGTAGCAGAAACCAAAAATTTTAACAAATGCTGAATTAGAAATAAAAATCATTTGGCCTTTGCTTCCAGTGGGAAGGAGCCAAAATTCCCCAGGCCTTGGGTATACTCAGTTCCAAGGAAAATTTTTACAAAAAGCATGATGCAGTGTGGCCACCCAGAAGCAGGACTGTTCCCCACGGCCACAGGGACCCCAGCCAACGGGTGCTCACAGTGATGTGTGCCTTGCGGAGCCCCACGGCCTCCTTCAGTGACGACAGGAAGTGATAGTTGGTTGGGCTCCAGAGCTTGCTGTCCTCTGACAGGTAAAAGGAAACCACGCAGCTTTGCCGTGTACAATTCCCACATCTCCTCAGCAGTTCAGAAACCCGCTCCTGATAGAGGAGAACGGCCTCCCCGGCTTTCACCACAAGATGCCGGGTCCTGTGAGAGCACAGAGGCTCCAGGGAACTCCACGCGTGGACTCTCACCTGCGCAGAAACAAGACAGGACAAAAACACACATTCTTGGGTTACTATGTTTTTAGACAATAATAGTAATAATAGTTGAGGAAAGTCAGAATAGCAGGACTGCTAAGAGACTATGAAAACCAGGATTAGCTTCAGCCCCACCAAGTACTAGTCCTGTAACTAAGCAAGTTACTCAGGTTCTCAAAGTCTCCGTTTCTTCCTTTGTAACAGGAGAAGAGCAGCAGCACTGACTTCTCAGGCTGTTGTGAGGTTAAATAAAGTAATCTACGGAGGCACGGGACCGAGGCATTGTAATTATTCCCTAAACGTGATCGATGCTCAATGTCCTACCATCTGTAGCCACCCAAGACCTGGGTTTCTACTCTCTTTTTACCTAGCATTGTTTTCAACCCAAGTCTATTTTTCCACGTACATATTCTGAATAATTTTACTGACTTCCACTCTCACATGTTATTTTTAACAATTTATTTTTAATAAAGTTTAGGCTATTTCCTGCTTTCTATGATTACAAATAACCTTTCACTTCAGTGACACTTTACAGTTTATAATTCACTTTCATCTAATTCTCTTACTACCATAGAAAGCCTTTGAGAAGATAGGCTGGTGTCATTTTACAGATAAGGAAACTGAATCGCCAACACATTAAAGCTTAAGGTCACTGAATAAATGGCAGTTTTACCCTGAATACAGGTATTTTGACTCCGAGCACAGTCCATTTTCTGTTACAGACATTTGACATAAATTAACTTCTCTTTCCCAAAAGAAAAAGAACCAAATAACTACAGAAATAATCTAAACTTCTCTGTCGCAGACAGAAAGTCCAGTAACTTACAGTGAGTGTCACGCTGCAGTCCGAGTGAAGGTCTGACACTCCATAGATGAAAAACACTCCTGTATCCTCAAAACCCACGGGCAACAGTGGAGCAAAGAAATGTCGAGCAAAGTAATGAAGCATTTTCCACTTTCCTCCATACTCTAAAAATAATCAGGAAAGTTAGGAGGCAGGAAGGATCAAGCAGTCGCTCACTGTCCTCCTGGCCTGGCTGGTAGATTTGTCGTGATTCTAGGGACTGAGTGTGGAAGGGCGGCACAGCAAGGTCGGGAACCCACATTTGTTGAGAGCTCTGAGCATCTGGGGCATGACCTCATACTATCCCTACCTCTGGGTGAGGTGCACATTAACATCTCCCTTTTGAATTGAGGAAATGGAGGCTCAAGCAGTTAAGGCAAACATGCCACAGGCAGCGTTGTGACCCAGACTTGACTCCTAGCTATTAGTTTCTCACATGCAATTCTGCTTCTAGGAGCTCAATGCGCCAACGCTCCCTTTTACTATGTACACAGGGGAAGGAATTCAGTAGCACTGGCAGTGAACACCTGTTACAAATATTCATTTGTAAGAATGATTTAGAACTCGAAGTCTCCTTTTCCCACAGGCACAAATCCTCTGAAACAAAACAACCACTACCACTAACATGCAAGTTCAGGCTGGGGGAGAACATCCCAACCAATGACAATTAATGACAGCTCCTCAAGTACAATTACAAGTTGTCAAGAACCTGTAGAATTCTGTGCCCTGTTGGCAAGTCTAGTATGCTAAACCCACAAAGTAAAAAATGTTTCAACATCCCTCTATTTCAGAGACAGAAGATCCTTCCCCATAAAGAACTACATCACCAAACAACTTCCGAGACAGAGGGAGACAGAGACAGAGAGATTCCAAAATTCACAGTGCAAGCTGTTGAGATGGAGCAATGTGGTTGTAAAGTTTAGATAGAATTAATTTATTTGGATTTTGCAAAGTTTCAACTCTCAGCATTTCAATCCCAGTTCTTAGTATTTCCCCTTAAAAATAATGACAGGCTCTGGCTGGTGTGGCTCAGTGGATTGAGTGCCAGCCTGCAAACCAAAGGGTCTCCGGTTCAATTTCTAGTCAGGGCACATGCCTCAGTTGTAGGCCAGATCCCCAGTAGAGGGCGCATGGGAGGCAACCACACATTGCTGTTTCTCTCCCTCTCTTTCTCCCTCCCTTCCCCTCTCTCTAAAATAAATAAAATCTTAAAAAATATATAACAATGAGGGGAGAGGGTTGGAGAACCTTTTCTTCTTAGATTTATAAGAATGAACTAGAAGTTACATTTAGAAAGTTTTTCTCAGAAATGGAAGGTGGCTCAGACTTGAGGTAATTTAGAGACTTTCATGTGTGAAATCCATTACAGAGAAGAGGCTTCTAGTGTATGGTTCCAGTGATTAAGGCCACACACAAATACACTCAGGGGAAGCAACTGAGCAGAAGGTTTCACGGATACACACCCTAGTTACTAATCAGTGACAGAGTCTGGGTATCAACGTAACACTGCATAACCAGCTAAAAATACTATGTGATTCCTGGCTTTTCCATTTACTCTGTAACTGTTCAAGTTTATGAGCCAAGCAATCTTCCCAGTGGACTTTTGTATTGCAAAATTATAACTACAAACAAGACTAATGTTTTTAAAAAGAAATATGTAAGAATCTATAGATTTTTATGTAGCTATTGATCCCGTTAAAGTATCACCGTAACACCCTGACTGGTGTGACACCCAGGTGGTTGGGTGTCATTCCGCAAAGCAGAAGGTTGCCAGTTCAATTTCTGGTCATAGCACATGCCTGGGTTGCAGGTTCAGTCCCTGGTCCAGGCGTGTATGAGAGGCAACTGATCAGTGTTGTTCTCTCAAATTAATGTTTCTACCTCCCTTCCCCTCTCTCTAAAAATAAATAAATCACATAATAACAAATAAAGTACCCCCCTGTCAGATGATAAGAGGTGACACATACCTGCCCCCCACCTGCACATAAGCACTGGATATATTGAGCCAATTAGGCAGAATTAAACAGAGGCTCCAAAGCTGCCTAGAGCAGGAGCAGACAGAGCGTAACTGTCACGGCTTCTCCCTGACGCCTGTTTTCTCTGACAGGTACAAGGAGAGAGTGACACTCTCCATGGAGGCATTGTCTTGTGAGGGTTTAGAAAACAGACAAATTTTTGCTTTGCTCTCAGACTCTAATACTGGGGTTTACCCACCTTCCCTGAAGAACTCATTCAAATAACCTGCATGCAATCATTTAAGGGAAGACTTACAAAAATTGTGCTCTCCCATTTCTTGAACCAAACTCAGCCCCAGAAGTCCTCAACCTTGTCCACAAGCAGAAAGATCAGGGTCAGCGTCTGAGTGTCTCTGAACAACATGTCTTTGTCCAGTTTTGGGTGTTTCAGAAACCTACTCTCCCATGGTCTGCCCGTGATTCTCATTCAATATCCTTTTATCCGGTTGGTGTTGATACAGAGTTTGGCCAGAGCGACTTGGTCAAAACTCCAATTCCCATCAAGTGGGGGCCTGGCACTAATCAAAGCCTGTGGTGAATAAACTTTAGATTTTCTTCCACAGCATGTTTAAGAGCCTCACCCGGCAACATGGCCTTTTTACTTTATGGCTTTGCCTCACTTTTGAGCCAAAACTTTTGTTTATATTAGCTGAACTTTGCATCAAACCACCTCTAGTGAAGGCCAAAGATCACCATTATTCCCTAAGTTTTTAATGCACCAAAGTAGAGTAATTTAAGCTGTGAGTGTCATGCCAAGTCACCTCACCTGCTGCTAGCTGAACTGGTTCATCTGAGAAACCTTCCTACTAGGATATCTGACTCTACTACCTTCCCCACAAGAGATAAACAGGGCAAAGTAAAGATGACCTCATGGACTTGAAGGGGAGGCAGGGAAAGGGACATTGTATCATTCAGCAGGGCCAACCTCCCACCTGGTTGAATTCTCCTAAACAAAAGAAGTGATGCTTAAGTAAATGTTCCTCTGGCCCTGAAAAGTCCTCTAAAATAAATTCAAGTCTAAGCAATTATGCTAAGTCATGTGGCTGACATCTCCCTGCATGAGCCTATCCCCTCCCTATGCCTGCTTTTGTGAATGCACAGCACAGAACTCTCACCCAGGCTGCCTCCAAGGCTCCCGGAAAGACTGTGGAGATGGGGGTGGAGGTGGGGGTGGGGGGCCCAGCTACTGGAAGACTGCTTCACCTTGGCCTCCGTGTCTCCTCAGTGCATCTCCCTACAGGTATTGCTTTCTCTCCCACACACACACAGAATGCTGAAACACTTACCCAGAGAGGCCCAGGAAGGAGCCTGCCAGATGTCATTCAGCTGCCAATACAGTGCCCCCATGGTGTGCCCTTCTCCAGCCACTATCTCGCTGCGACTGCGGCGGTAGAATTCACTTTCTGTTTTGACACACTGGGCCTGCATCACCTGATTCGGGGGGAGAACATTAAAACACAGGTGGTATTGTTTGATGGGGGCTGTCCAGAGTGAGAAAATTACAGGCTTGAGTTGTTTGTTTTTTTAAAGCAGATTGGATAAATCAGGGAATTTGATGAGCTTATATATACTATTATTATACTAGATCTGGAATGATCCCCTTGGCATGAAAGAAGCTGTTATGTATATGAGCTGGTTCGTTTGGAAGGCTTGGTATTTGCTTATTATAACAGCTGGGTAATCAGGGGAACAGGGCGGTGGGAAGGCTCTTTACTCATGACAGTGTCCGGGGGTGTCAAACTCATTTTCACCAGGCGCCACATCAGCCTCACAGTTGCTTTCAAAGGGTCGAATGTAATTTCAACTCCTTAACAGTTAAGGAGTAGTTACATTTATACAGTCCTAAAATTATTTTGGCCCTTCGAAGGCAACTGCGAGGCTGACATGGCCCCCGATGAAAATGAGTTTGACACCCCTGGTGAAGACAATGACAGAAAACAAAAACTTATTCTGGAACAAATGCTATACATAGGGAAACACTAAGTTTTTGCAATGATGGGCTTTACTAACATTTTCAGAGCTATTGAAAAAAAGCTTTATCGGAAAAAGATTCAGTAGGAAAAATAACTTTATTATGAGTCCGATCCTGCCCAATCTTTAACCCCTTTTTCTTCTAGTCAAGCAATTGTTTTTATATCTTGACTTCTGTGAACATAAAATTACTTGTGAATGCAATTCCTTCATTATGGCAGAATAAATGGTATATTGCAGCAATGAGACAAGTTCTTGTTTAAAAGGCAATAAATGACTTCATGCAGGACCCTTAATTACTGTCATTGTCATTGAAAAATCAGTCTCTCGTATTGCGGCTAATACTGACACTGCAGGTCAACACACTCTTGGCTTGGAGTTGTGGTTAGGAAAGGCTGCTGAATGAGAGCTCATTAAGGGAGGTCACCCAGGAGGAGCTGGAGAGACAACCAGAGCTGCAAGGATTCCTCAGTCAGAGAAAAGAACAGCCTTAGAGGAGGGCCTGGATTTTCACAGAGGAAGGAAAAGAAGGATATATGCGTGGCCACTAGAAGACGGAGCCCAGGTGCCTTCCTATAAAGCTGGAAAAGCTCAGATAAAGGTACATCGAGGTAGGCTGGCTATGAAGAAGTTACTGATGAAGTTACAACTTACATGAGGCAGGACCATAAATTTCCAGTAGGGTGAAGCAAGAAGAAATCATAGTCATTCAACAAATATTTAATAAGCGCCTACAGTATATGTTACGAGCTAGCAATGGTAAGCCCCTCTCCCAACCAAAAAGATATTGGCCACCCTTGTGGAGTTTACTGGCCTATGTAGAAGACTGGTCTTAATCCACCAATCACACAAATAAATGTAAACTGTAAGCAGCAATAAGAACTAAGGAGAGGCGTGCAATGTTAGGAGCTTGCATGTTAGCGTAAGTGGGTGTAGCAGACAGGTGACGACTGTCCTCGAAGAAGAGGAAAGGGGAAAAGAGAGTGGCAGGACCTTGCAGCAGAGAGCACACGGGTGAGAGGAGAATGCACAGGGGAAGCATGGCAAGAAGGCCAAGGTGGCAGGGACACACAGGGCTGGCAGCCGTGGGAGAGGCACTGGTGAGGTGAAGGCCCAGACCCAGGTGTTTCTGTGCGGCCTAAAGGTGACTGGAAGTCACGAAAACTTTTCAACTAAAGGGTGAAGTGACCAGATTTGTACTTGTAAAAGACAACTCTGGCTACTGAAAGGAGAATGGATTGCAGGGGGCCGGAATGGGTTTAGGGAGACCATTTAGACAGATATGAAAATCTTCCAAGCAAGAGATGATGTCAGTTGTGAGCAAGTAAAAAAATGCTCTTCTCATTCAGGAACCAAACCAGTGGGACCACAGGAAGGACCACAGGCAGATATGCTCTAAGGAAAGTAAGAATGTGGGGGTGGTTAGGGGCCTGGGTGGGAGAGGTAGAGGGATTGAGGAAAAAAAAAAACAGAAAAAGCTCATGGACACAGACAACAGTGTGGTGATAGCTGGGGGAGATGGAGGCGTGTAAGGGGGATAACAGTGATGGAAGGGGACTTGACTTGGGGCAGTGAACACACAATACAGTGCCCAGATGAAGTGCAATTGTGCACCTAAAACCTGTGTAATTTTGTTAACCAGTGTCACCCCAATAAATTCAAAAAAAAGGAAAAACAAAAGAATCTCACACATGGAGCAGCATTGGGCCAACTCAAAATGACCATTAAGATGCAGTCTGGCCCTGACTGGCATGGCTCAGTGGGTTTCAGTGTTGGTCCACAAAGTGAAAGGTCACAGGGCACATGCCTGGATTGCAGGTCAGGTCCCTGGTTGAGGGCGTGAGAGAGGCAACTGATGGATGTTGCTCGTACATTGATGTTTCTCAACCTTTCTCCCTCCTTTTCCCTCTTTCTAAAAATAAGTAAATAAAATCTTTTTTAAAAAGATCAGTCTGAATACATTAGCACAACACTAAGTCAGAGGAAATGCAATAGAAAAACAGACCTGAGAATGCTGATCTATGTCTGTCAAGCTAATCTGCAATTAAACTCAGATCTCTAGTCAAGTTCCTTGTGAAAATACCAGTCTTGTCTGAACTGAAAAAAGAGACTGATCTACTTCTAAGCCTCAGTTTCTAGGCACAAAGGAATTAAGTCCCTTGAGTAAGTATTCACGGATATGTTGAGTTATTGTACAAAATCAATATTGTACAAAATCACTGATTGTACAAATCAATCAGTGTTATGGAGAAACTTCTAGAAAGCTCAGTGATGATGATCTGCCGAGGAGTAAACACTCAGTAGAAAGTGATACGGAGGGAGCAACAACCATCATCCATCCATGCCCACTAGAGAGTTTTACCTCAATCGGCACAGAAAGTAACCTTCCTGCTCAAAGAGCTGATAAATCTTAACTCATTTAAATCACCCTGAGCCTCCAAAGAATCCTTCACCCACCAAGCTAACTGGACTATGGACATCAAGTCCCTGCCCTTGTCGCACATGCACGTGAGGCCCAGCATGAGAAATCCCTGTTGTCATCCTGAGACTCCTGCAAAATCAGCAGTGCTTTATGGGCCGTGTGAGAAGAGATCATGACAGAAAGACTGAGGAGGTCCTCATCATACCAGTGAGTAACAACACGGCGACAGGGATTCTGGTCACCCCAGACATTTCAGGAGCTGCAGGCCCAGCCAGCACGGGTTGAGCACAGGCACCAAATGGCAACCACTGTGGATACTCCACTTTGGGTAGAGGCCACTTTCTGGAAATCCCAGGACCCAAAGTGTCCAAAGTCTGGGCCATTCCTGATATATGGAAGAAGCCAAAGAACCTGCAACATTCTGACATTACCCACAAGGCCTTGACTCAGGACCTACTCGTAAATGGCATAAAAGGAGGAGTGTTACTCAAGAAGTTTGGGTTTGGAATCACTTTCCTTGGATTCATACTTATAAAGTAAAGTGAATAAGAAAAATTTGAAAAACAGAATTCTCAGGTAGGAACAACAGATCAGTGTATAACAGAATAGGAAATCAAATCATCTCTTTCAGGTCAAAATGAACACTTCCAGGATAAAGCTATAATTATTAGTCATACTCATGCTTGGTTAGATTGAATCTAAAAGACAACCAGATATTTTACTGATGTTCTTCATAGAGGTGACTTGAATTTTCTTTTTCTTCATGGTGAATTTAAGCTTCTTTTCAGGAAAAACAAAAAATCTAATGAACATCAAATTATTTACATCACTCCAAATTCTTTTGCAAGCTTTATTAACAGATGTTGTAACTCATTTACATTTGCAATTTTGTATTCTACTCTCACGTAATTTTCATACATGTACATTTCCATGCACTAGCACATTCTCAATGTTTCTGTGCTTTACGGTTATGTACAATAGCTATATCATAGTTTGCATAATCATTTCCCATTTATTAGGCATTTGAATGGTTTCTAATTTTTTCTTTAAATACAAGAGAAAAGAACATTTTATGTCCCAATTAATTTCTTCACTTGTTGCCTTGCCACTTTTCTTAATGTATGACAAATTTTAAAGTCCTTGGTGCACACTGCTATATAAGATAGCGTGATCCAGACAAGAGGTCGCCATAAACTGGTGGCCTCCAGGCTAAACTCAGCCCCACACAGATTTTGATTGGCCCACATGGCAGGTGTCTCTGTTTCTTCTTGTCAATGTTGTCATTGTTTAATGTCTTGAGTCAGGGCATCTACACTCCATCTTGACACCATTCACAATAATCAGAGTCTTGCTCATTGAAATTACTTGCTTATTGCGTACAGACATTTGAGGGTTCAGTCCCTAAACAGTCCAGCGTTCAGAACTGCAATAATTATTTATTTTTGTATATCTATCCCAGGCTCCTTGCTGTAATTTGCCCTCTCTGATTTAGTAGGTAAATATTAATAACCCTTTATTTTTGTCATTAAACAGTCTTTTTCAATGCAAGTAGAACTCCTAACTCTTGCTAGCAATGAAAGAAAAAGAGTACCAGGCCAGCTCTAACCAGTAGCCTCTCATACCTTAATTTAGTGTGAAGGGGAAACCAAGAGTTTTGAGCGCTCCAGGCTCTACATGGTGTGGTATACTCGGCAGAAGATGGTGCCATGCCGATAACATAGATCTGGATTTCCCCAGGCCAGTAGGCGCCTGTCAGGACTAATGAATGACATGTTTGCTCATAAAAATGCAGAAGGCCGCTGTCCACTACTCTTCTCAAAGAGAAGTTGTACAGTCCCAGATCTCTGGATTGTCTCTGGAACTGCCTCTTTCCCTTTAAAAATTGTACCTGTATTTATTCACTAATGCACACTTCCTTAAAGAGAGCAATATTTACGTATTAAAAAAGATACATGCTTAGGCATTTCCAAGGTTACTCAGTCCCACTGTTAGCAGACAAATGTTATTTTAGTTTCAAAAATATGACTACATTCAGCAG